GCCTTAGTAATGCATTTATATCATTAATAGACTCAATTGGCTTCTGTCAGAGTGTAAATAAACCAACTCATTGTTTTAATCACACTCTTGACCTTGTTTTATCATATGGCATTGATATTGAACATTTAATAGTCTTCCCACATAATCCTTTCCTATCTGACCATTATTTAGTAACTTTTGAATTCATACTATTAGATTATAAGCCATTAGGCAAAACTTCCTACAGCAGATGTCTATCTGACAGTGCTGTAGCTAAATTTAAGGAGGAGATTCCTTCAGTGTTTAATTCAATGCCATGTCTGAATTTAACAGAGTCCTATAACAACTTTAGTCCCTCTGAAATTGATAATCTTGTCGATAGTGCTACAGGCTCACTACGATCAACATTAGACTCTATCGCTCCTATAAAAAGGAAATTATTAAAACATAGGAGACTAGCACCTTGGTATAACCACCAAACCCGCCAGTTAAAGCAAATAGCTAGGAAATCTGAAAGGAAATGGCGCTCTTCCAAATTATCAGAATATCGCTCAAATTGGCAAGATGATCTTAAGATTTATAGAAAGGCCCTCCGTAATGCCAGAGGAGCCTATTACTCAGCACTAATAGAAGAAAATAAGGGGTTTTAGCCAACTATAGACCGATTTCTAACCTCCCGTTCCTCTCTAAGATTCTGGAGAAAGTAGTCGCCAAAGAGTTGTGTGACTTTCTACATAACAATAGTTTATTTGAGGATTTTCAGTCAGGATTTAGAGTTCATCATAGCACAGAGACAGCTCTGGTTAAAGTTAATAATGACCTTCTGACTGCTTCTGACAATGGACTTGTCTCTGTACTTGTATTATTAGATCTTAGTGCTGCATTTGACACCATTGACCATGATATTCTTTTACAGAGACTTGAGCATCAAATTGGCATTAAAGGAACTGCCCTAACCTGGTTTAAGTCATACTTATCAGATCGTTCTCAGTTTGTACATGTTAACGATGAATCCTCCATAAATACTAAAGTTAGTCATGGAGTTCCACAAGGTTCTGTACTTGGACCAATACTATTTACTTTATATATGCTCCCTTTAGGCAACATTATTAGGAATCACTCCATTAACTTTCACTGTTATGCAGATGATACGCAGTTATATCTATCAATCAAACCCAATGAAATTAATCAATTATCTAAATTACAAACATGTCTTAAGGACATAAAATCCTGGATGACCTGCAATTTTCTGATGTTAAACTCAGAAAAAAACGAAATTCTTGTTCTTGGCCCCAAAAACCTTAGAGACTCATTGTCTAAAGATATAGTCACTCTAGATGGCATTAACTTGGCCTCTAGCACCACTGTCAGGAATCTTGGGAGTTATCTTTGATCAGGATTTGTCATTTAACTCCCACATAAAGCAGACCTCTAGGACTGCCTTCTTTCATTTACGTAATATTAGAAAAATTAGACACATCCTATCACAGACAGATGCAGAAAAACTAATCCATGCATTTGTTACTTCAAGGCTGGATTACTGCAACTCTTTATTATCAGGTTGCCCCAATAAGTCCATTAAAACGCATCCAATTAATTCAGAACGCTGCAGCACGAGTACTGACAGGAACTAGAAAAAGAGATCACATCTCTCCTGTACTAGCTACTCTGCATTGGCTCCCTATAAAATGTAGAATTGAATTTAAAATACTCCTCCTCACCTATAAAGCTCTTCATGGTCAGGCCCCTTCATATCTTAAAGAGCTCATAGTACCCTATTACCCCACTAGAACACTACGTTCTCTGAATGCTGGGCTACTTGTGGTTCCTATAGTCTCTAAAAGTAGAACAGGAGCCAGAGCCTTCAGTTACCAAGCTCCTCTCCTGTGGAACCAGCTTCCAGTTGTGGTTCGAGAGGCAGACACCCTCACCACATTCAAGAGTAGGCTTAAGACATTCCTCTTTGATAAAGCTTATAGTTAGGGCTGGATCAGGTGAGTCCTGAACCATCCCTTAGTTATGCTGCTATAGGCCTAGACTATCGGGGGATTTCCCATGGTGCACTGAGCTACTCTCTCTTCCTCTCTTTCTGCACTCATTCATGTCCCTTTAATGCATGTTACTAACTCCACTTCTTCCCCCGGAGTTCTTGTGCTTTCTCGTCTCGCAGGTTCTCATGGATCCTGGTGGAGCCTCCTGCCATGGTCCTGCTTGACTGCCATTGCCAATACTGTTGTTGCTGTGCACCTGTCTGTCTGTCTGTCGCTCTCTCTCTCTCTCTCTCTCTCTCTCTCTCTCTCTCTCTCACCCCAACTGGTCGAGACAGACGACCACCCACCTAGAGCCGGAGGATCTGTCCTAGGTTTCTGCCTTTTAACAGGCAGTTTTCCTTGCCCTTGTCGCCAAGTGCTTGCTCATGGTGGTACTGTTGGGTCTCTGTAATTAATGTTAAAGAGTTCGGTCTAGACCTGCTCTATTTGAAGAGTGTCCTGAGATAACTTCTGTTATGAATTGGCGCTATACAAATAAAACTGATTTGAATTCAATTGAATTCAATATCTTTCCATCTCGCACTGTAGTCAGGGATTACACAAGTTCCACATAGTTTTTAGTTGCGCCACCTGATAATAGCTCTTAAAACAGGGCAGGGCTAGTCCCCCTTTAACTCTGGGAAGCTGTAGAGTTCTATATCTTATCTGTGGTCTTTTTCCTTGCCAAATGTATCGAGAAATGAATCTGTCCCATTTTGTGAAGTCTTTGTCTTTTACTTCTACTGGCAGAGTTTGGAATAAATACAATAACCTTGGAAGAACAGATTTTGATCATGTATGAAGGAGTTTGAGAGAGATTTCCATTGATCTTGATCCTAGCTGTGGGTTTATTAAAGAGAGATTGAATAGTTTTGACAAAATTTCATGGAAACAAAATCGCTCCAGCACCATATACAGGAAATTCCACCAAATGCCTTTTTCTGCATCCAGTCCCACTATTATTGCTTCTAATCTTTTTTTGATTATGTTTTGCATTACATGTAATGTGCGCCGATTATTGTCCTGTGTCTGTCTTTGTTTTATAAATCCAGTCTGGTCCTGGTGAATTATATCTGGCAGGTCTGAACCACATTTCATCACAATCCATCCAATAGCTGTTGAGATATTTCAGTCTGGACCAAAGTGGAGGACGGACTGACAGACCCACATTACCATCCATAGAACCATGCTGCTAGCATGCTAAAAACATTACAATGTGTTTATGAAGAGTGAAGCTTTGGTCAAAAAGGGACAGTAAAGACTTTGAGCAAAGCGCTGTGTGAACTCACAAAAGAAAAATGTGACTTCACAGAGGATTATCAAAGTCGCCACCAGACAGAGGAAACCAGTCTGCTCTTTATCCTGAAACCAGTTCTTGAGGAACCCCCCTGTCAATACTTGGCTCTGTGGTTTTGGTCTTTGTTCAGGTACATTTTGGTCCAGATACAAATGTAGAATAAATCTTTAAAATCCTCTGTGCTGTTCTATAATTCAACAACAAATGATACAAATCCTCATGGAAAGTAGTTCTCTGAGTCTAGAAACTCCTGCTGAAGTTTAGTTAAAGGTCCTTTGACAAATCGTATTAGCAGACACAATCCTACACAGGTTAGCTGTTTATCCACTAATGTAAATCACACTTTAAATGATCAGTTGAATGGGTTCATGAATCCTGACCTGAGAGTGTCCAGTTTACAATGTGGACTCTTCAGTCCAGCAGACAGAAGCTTCAGTCCTGAATCCTGCAGGTTGTTGTTACTCAGGTCCAGCTCTCTCAGACTAGAGGACTGGGAGCTGAGAACTGAGGACAGCGCTTCACAGCTTCTCTCTGAGAGGTTACAGCCACTCAGTCTGGAGAGGAAATAATGAGATTCATAATATATGTTAGCATTGAGCTAACAGTACAAATACTAATAATGTTGCCACATGGTTGTAGCTGTTATGCTACATATGTTAAGTGTTATTTAAACATTCTGTTACACTTTCTAGACGGTTGACTCTGCTTTTATAACTGATTTAATGTGTTTATTCTAAGTTTTAAAGTTCCTTCATGTGGCAGGCAACAAATAAACAGCCTGAAACAGAAAGCTTTTGACTCTCATTTGGAGAACTGTTCCCATATCTGCCAAACTAAACACCAACGTTCATGGAGGGCACAATACTTTCTGTTCTACTCTGAACATGTTGGGGATGTGACAACTAATCTGAACAGTTGTAAAGATCCAATGATAGTAAGTCACATGGTTTCAAAACAACAATAAGGTTCTTGATTTCAGCCAGAGTTTATATTTCGTGCTGTACAATCAGTGAAAATACATCAGAAAATTCTTAGATTTTCTGTACTGTGAAATTTGATCCTGACCTGAGAGTTTCCAGTTTACAATGTGGACTCTCCAGTCCAGCAGCCAGAAGCTGGACTCCTGAATCCTGCAGGTTGTTGTTACTCAGGTCCAGCTCTCTCAGACTAGAGGACTGGGAGCTGAGAACTGAGGACAGCGCTTCACAGCTTCTCTCTGAGAGGTCACAGCCACTCAGTCTGTAGAGACAACAGTAAGGAAACAAATAAAAACTGATTTATGTTTTTCTCCTGTTGAAAGATATCATTGTATTTATTGATGAATAAATCCCACTTACAGAGCTTTGTTGGAGGCTTTGACCACTGGCAGCAGCCTCAGAAGAGCCTCCTCTGAAGCAGAGTATTTCTTCAGGTCAAACACGTCCAGATCTTTTTCTGATGACAGTAAGATGAAGGCCAGAGCTGACCACTGAGCAGGAGACAGTTCATCGGTGGAGAGACTTTCTGAACTCAGGGACTGTTGGATCTCCTCCACCAAAGAGCAATCATTTAGTTCATTCAGACAGTGGAACAGATTGATGGTTCTCTCTGCAGAGGGAGTCTCTTCGATCTTCTTCTTGATGTACTCGACCGCTACCTGATTGGTTTCTGAGCTACTTCCTGTCTGTGTCAGCAGGCCTTGTAGGAGAGTCTGATTGGTCTGCAGTGAAAGTCCCAGGAGGAATCGGAGGAACAAGTCCAGGTGTCCATTTGGACTCTGTAAGGCCTTGTCCACAGCACTCTGGTAGAACTGTGTCTCTGCTGATTCATCTTTTCTTGTTTCAGACTTCTGGGAGGTTGATTGTTCTTCTGCCAGCAGATTGACTCCAGAGCTGATGAATGTCAGATGGACATGAAGAGCAGCCAGAAACTCCTGAACACTCAGATGGATGTAGCAGAAGACCATGTCCTGGTACAGTCCTCTCTCCTCTTTAAAGATCTGTGTGAACACTCCTGAGTACACTGAGGCTGCTCTGATATCGATGCCACACTCTGTCAGGTCTGATTCATAGAAGATCAGGTTGCCTTTCTGCAGCTGCTCAAAAGCCAGTTTCCCCAGAGACTCAATCATCTCTCTGTTCTCTGGAATCCAGTGTGTCTCTGTCTCAGCTCCTTCATCATACTTGATGTTCTTCCGTTTGGACTGAACCACCAGGAAGTGGATGTACATCTCAGTCAGGGTCTTGGGCAGCTCTCCTTTCTCTCTAGTCTTCAACACATCCTCCAGAACTGTAGCAGTGATCCAGCAGAAGACTGGGATGTGGCACATGATGTAGACGCTTCGTGAGGTCTCAATGTGGGAGATAAGTCTGCTGACCTGCTCCTGATCTCTGAATCTCTTCCTAAAGTACTCCTCCTTCTGTGGGTCAGTGAACCCTCTGACCTCTGTCACCATGTCAACACACCCAGGAGGAATCTGATTGGCTGCTGCAGGTCTTGTGGTTATCCACAGGCGAGCAGAGGGAAGCAGGTTCCCCCTGATGAGGTTTGTCAGCAGCACATCCACTGAGGTGGACTTTGTAGGATCAGTCAGGATCTTAGTGTTGTGGAAGTCCAGAGGAAGTCGACACTCATCCAGACCATCAAAGATGAACACAACCTGGAATTCTTCAAACCTGCAGATACTTGCTTCTTTGGTTTCAGTAAAGAAGTGATGAACAAGTTCCACCAAGCTGTACTTTTTCTCTTTCAGCACATTCAGCTCTCTGAAAGTGAATGGAAATGTGAACTGTATGTCCTGGTTGGCTTTGTCTTCAGCCCAGTCCAGAGTGAACTTCTGTGTTAAGACTGTTTTCCCAATGCCAGCCACTCCATTTGTCATCACTGTTCTGATTGGTTCATCTCTTCCAGGTGAGGGTTTAAATATATCTTCTTGTCTGATTGTTGTTTCTGGTCTGTGTGGTTTCCTGGATGCTGTTTCAATCTGTCTGATCTCATGTTCATCATTGACCTCTGCAGTCCCTCCCTCTGTGATGTAGAGCTCTGTGTAGATCTGGTTCAGAAGGGTTGGGTTTCCTGCTTTAGCAATCCCCTCAAACACACACTGAAACTTCTTCTTTAGGTTGGATTTAAGTTCACGCTGACAAACTCCAGAAGAACTTCCTGAATGAACACACAACAAATAAGATCATTAAGTGACATTAGTGGATATACAAACATATTCTTCACCATCTGTTGAGACATCAGTAAATATCTCATTTATCCAGCGAGTTAAATCTTTAGAGAAATCCTCTTACTGCTCTGCAGACAGTCAGCCAGCTCCTCCTGCTTCATTCTCCTCAGGAAGTGCACTGTGATCTTCAGAAATGCCTCTCTGCTGCTCTTCCTCTGCTCTTCATCCTCACCGTCCAACACCTCCTCATCCTCCCTCTGACTCTCTAAGTATTCTGGGTAATCTGGACTCAGAACCCTCTGGATCTTTTTCAGCTCGGTCTTCACAAAAGTGACAATGTTGTCCTCCAGCAGCTGGAACAGAATATTATATGAATGACTCAATCAAAGTCAAATCATGGAAGCAAACATCAGATCCATGTTGGACAGACAATCCTCTGATCTAAAAAGTGCAGCATGGAGATTATTGTGAACACAATAGATGTTAAAGTAGTTGTTGTCCATGTACAGACCATAAATATGGAGTCCAGGTGTGTTTGATGCTGCTGGGCAGACTGACCACTGGGAACCTCTGAGCTCTCCTGGTCCACCCTGTGGAGGAATCATGAAGAATGAGCTCACATTATGTCTGTCCACACAGAGACAAACACAAACTAAAGGTCCTTTGAGGTAAATTATAGTGAAGAACACTGATGCAGATGATTGACCTGCTGCACTTGTTGACCCAATATAATACTGTGGACAGTCTCACACAGTCTGATCGGGTGCTATCTGCCCAGTGGTAATTGGAAGGAAATTAGTACGTTGCTGTGAAACAGAGACAGATATTCTTCTTCTGGGACCAAATCAAATCTAAAAGCACTACTTAATATTGCCCCAAACCAGGGTTAAAAAAAAACAACAAAGACAATTAAACCAAACCAGGACTAAAGCAGTTTTGGCATTAATTTAGTATAGCCAAAACTGCACTGGACCAGAATTCCTCTGGCCCCATTAGAAATGTCATCAACAACACATCTGTCAATCAGTGTCTGAACGGCAGCAGTTAGCAGCTGTGCCAAGGAGGTCATCTGTGCCTGCTGGACTCCTGAAGCAGCAAACAGGTATTCTGAGACCAGAAGGTCAGCTGCTTCTTGGATCACATGAGGACAACTTTGTAGGTGGAAAAAGTTTGGTGATGCCACGCTGAAGAACTTTTAGTTGGCCTCAAAGACATTCTGGCAAACCATCAGATGACTCAGGAGAGGGAGGCAGAGCTCAGCTGGGTTGTTTCTAGTTGGGGAGGAGAACTGCTGACCCGGACCGAGGGTACTATTGGACAGTGGTACACATTTTAAAATGTGCTCTTGTGCTCGGCTAGTTTCCAACAGACACTGTACAGAGTTTGCATTTTGTTTTCTGATTGAAATGGTCACAAACTTTGGACACTTTCTGTCTCTTCTCTTCCCCCCTCGTTATTTTCTCTCTCCAAAGTGCGTTGTGTGACAGTGATAATCTGTGCAACACACAGTGTGCTGTATGGCTGTATGTACTTATATGGGTTACATGAAGCCTTGATGCAAAGAACTTTAGTCATCCAGTTCCTGGAGGAATCGTTTCAGCCCCAATATAAAAAGGAATCATTAAAGCATCACAACATCTTACTTTATGTCACATGAATGTCTTCTTTTAATGTCAGTGATGATCCCTTTTGACAGGTCGCTCTTGAAGGACACATAGCTGGGTTCAGGTCCAGGTCCAGGTCCAGTAGAGTCTGGTCTCCTATAGATCCTGTTAGACAGAGAAGAAGACCACCATGGATGTGAACTGATTGTTTATCTTCAGACACAGAAGCTGCAAGAGAAACTAGCAGCTATTAACCAGAAAAGGATAATTTCAGTCTGTATCATCGCTTCAGTTTTCCTTAAAATATTCGACCAAACTCGGACTAAATTTCCTGATTTCTGATCAGATTTTCCTGTTGGTGACCAGTGAACTTTCGGATCCATCAGCAGCAACATTGTTGTCCTGTATTCTAAGTAGAGCTGCATGATATTGGGAAAACTAACTAACTAACCCCCTAACCCTTTCAGAACCAAAACAGAACTTCTGTTCTGTTCTGTCAATATGTAGAAAAATGCAAGTATTCAATAAAAAATGTCCTTTCAAGCCATCTGTCTCAACTTTAAGTCACATCTCAAGTCAGGAATACCAAGTCAAAGTCAAGTCGAGTCTTTTATCAATGTTATTCAGGAAGTCTCAAGTCCTCCACCTCTGACACAAACTCTGATCAGAGTTTGTGTCTAAAAACTTAAATTCTAAAAACGTACCTTTTGTCAGACGAACATTTTTGTTTAAAAACAATAAAATCATCTTTTGACCGGTCGCTCTTGAAGGACACACAGCTGGGTTCAGGTCCAGGTTTAGCTCCAGGTCCAGGTTCAGGTCCCCACAGAGTCCTTTTAGAGGAAGGGACTCCCTCCTCTCTGTCCTCACACTGACTCATGCTGCTGAACTCACATCCACATCAGCTCACACACACTTTGATCTGGAGAGGAAACACAAATCATCATGTGCACATCAACTGAAATCATCCTTTCCATCATTTCTCCTGAAAGAAGATCAGCTGCTCCTCCAGTGATTGGCTCTTATTTTCTCTTTCATATCAGTGTCAGTTGAATGCAGTCAGACAGCAGTGTGAGGCAGAGGAAGCTGCCATCAGCTGCTGGACTTCTACTAGCAGTCCGCTAGATGGCGACATGAAGCTGCAGCCAGTGGAGGAAAGTAACTAAGTTCATTACTCAACTACTGTACTTTAGTACAATGCCTATTTCGACTGTATGCTACTTTATATTGGAGTTACTGTGCAGATGGAGCTCATGAATCCAATATAGAATCAATAATCAACGATTATGTATTATTATAGATGAAGTTATCCAGCAGTATATGAAGTCATTCATGTTGCTACTTTTATTCTATGTGAACCTGTGTGAGCCACGTCAACCACTAATGTGACAATAACGTTTTTCTCATTTCTAATGGAATCATCCTGCAGTTCACTTTGGCACCAGCAGATGGTGCCACATGATTTCTAAAGACAAGTGGAGGAAGATGGCAGTCAACCAAGAGTGTCTCTATTTCATCTGTAATGAGACCAAAATTACATTTTGTTCTCCAGGAAACTTTACAGGAATTATTATGAAATTATGAAGAAGTCAAAAACTCAGTCTGGTTCACACTTTGTCTCATGAACGCAGCACGAGGGACTTTCCAACTTCCCACGGGCCTTGAATGCAGCGTGATGAGGCTGCAGTCTTTTTTGAATCAAACTTTATTGTTAAACTCAGGAGGTGAACAGTGCAGTGCAGCAGGCCTGTGTACCAGAGCTCATCAATAACATCCAATCAGGGAAGTAGTACTACAACAAGTACTCCAACTATTAGTAGCACACTGAGACAATACTGTGTTCACAGGTTGACTCAAAGTACAAATAGGTGATTTGAAGTACTTTAGACACTGCTGGAGACTTTGATCTGTAATGTTCAAATAATGTGATAAAGTAAGAAGCTGTAGTGAAGTATAAATTATGAAGTATTGCACAGTTATTCTGTTTGCACTGTAAACAATCAGAGATAGAATCAGTGAGCAGAGCAGCTCAAACTGCTTTATTGTTACAGTCTGATCCATTCAAAGATAGCAGTGCTGGAACAAGTGATTGAGTTCAGTAAAAGTACAGTGTCCAGCAGAGAAATAAACTAACGACAGCTTGTGTTAACAAGGAAAACATTAAAAACTTGTTCCATTACCTTCAGCTGGAGGTTGAGACGGAGAAAACCAACTGCCACGCTCGCAAGTGAAAGTAAACTTTAATCAGGAAACATCCAGAGCGGAAGTGAAACTAGACTTTGACCTAGAAACAGCAGAGAGGAGTGTGAGTGATAAACATTAACCATATCTGTAACTGCCAGTGAAAGCAGATACAGTCGCTGTTTAATGGAAGCATAGGAAGATAAATGTTGACCTGAAGTAGCTGGAAGTTGATTTCATCTTCATTTGTTGTTATTGGACTTCCAGCAAGCAGCTTTAGTGAGTGTTGGTTACCATGGTAACGGAGTCACTGTAGTCCAACACGTTGGATTTAGAAACATGTTAACAACTACACATTAGACAGTACACTGGAGATTTGTGTCAGTTTACATTGTTAGGCCAGCGGGTAAGCTTCTGAGCATGCACCAGGACAAACAGTCTTATGAGGCCTATCTTAATACAAAGCAGACCAAGTTCAGACTCACAGACTCTGGAGGAGTTGAACCTTGTTGCAGGTGCACAGAGAACAACCGACTGCTCAATGTCATCAAGCAAACAGCTGATTGTTGAGTTCAGGAACAGGAAGACAAACAGCCCTGTCTACACCACTTACTCATTGGTGGAATGAGGGTACAGAAGCCTACTGGGGAGGGAGGCAGCTGAGGATCCACCAGGTTAACAGGAATCAGGGTCAGCAGTGGACAGTCTGTCCAGGAGCAGGTGGAGATGAGCTCCTATACATACTGTGGGGGGTAATTGGGAACCAGTGGGACAGTCTGAGGGCCTCTGGTGGATGGATGAAGTCTGGGGAGCCCATCAGAAATGATTGGTGGGTCTGGGGGAAGTGAGAAGTGTCTGAAGACAGATACAGAGGGTCAGAACTGGAATTAAATGTGGACAGTCCAGGACCAGAGGACTCTGCAGCAGCTGAGTAAAACCACCCAGAACATCACTGCTCCAATCTAGAGAATGAGTGAGATTGCTGATCCAAAGGATAATAAAGACAATAAAGCGGAACCTTGATGAGGAGCACAAAGTCCACAGAGGCAGCCAGTTGTTAAACTGTCCATTAAAATGGAACCTGAACTCCTGGACTTGTGTTTTCAATCATTTGGAGACGTCGAGGATTTCAGTGAGATATGAACCAAGTGCTGCAGTTCCTCCATCTGACCACTGGGGGGGCGCTGATCACTCACACATCTGTTCTTACCATGTTCACAGTGAGAGGTCGATCAGGAGGATGAGCTGCTGACAGTGAAACATGTGATGTGGGTTTGATTCCTGCTGGAGGACAAATGTTAGAGACACTGCCGCCTACAGGCTGCTCTCATACTGACTGCTGTCCAGTCCAACCAGTGCAGTACAAAGTAATGAGTATTATTCAGTCAGTTAGAAGGTCCTAGACAGCAGCACTGATCACTACTTTACTTTCATTTCAAACACAAAAACTCAACTCTCTGCAGTCAGAAAAGATTTAGGCTCCAAAAAGGCCAAAACACACTGACTGAATGTAAAGAGAGCAGCTCTGTCTCAGGCTGTAGTTTGGGACTTTGGCCAAAAGTATGTAGACATCTGCACTGACTCACACACTCCGATGCTCCTCTCAACATTCAGCCACTTCTCTTTCTTCCACTTGGCTGCCAACATGTACGTCCTCTGGAGCTTCTCCACCAGCGCCGTCTCTATGCTGGGCAGAGAGCAGTTCATGGCCGTCTACCTGTCTGCAGGTACGCCAGCACGACACACTGCAGGTTCAGCTTGTGATTGGTTGCACACACTGTTGTTGTTGTTGTTGTTTACTCTGATTTGTTTGTTCTGTGTGTTCAGGTGTCGTATCTACGTTTGTCAGTTATATTTGTAAGATGGCCACAGGGAGGTTCGGTCCGTCTCTGGGAGCCGTAAGTAACAACACCAGCATCAGTAATCAATACTCTCATTATTAAAGCATCAATCAACCTGATCAGCCTTCAGCAGTCAGCTAGTGTTTCTGTAGTGGAGACTAAACGTTAACAATGATCCATATCAGCAGTTTGAATCCAACTAAAAGCTCCCTGCACCAAACTCCCTTTAAGAAATATCACATTTTAACAATTCCCAAAGTGTTCGTAACAACACGTAACTCTAGAAACACGAGCTAAAGGCCGTCATATGTCCACAGTCTGACTGTCAATACAGGATCAATATCATCCATAAAGATACAGTGTATACTGATCAATATCATCCATACAGATACAGTGTATACTGATATCATCCATAAAGATACAGTGTATACTGATCAATATCATCCATAACGATACAGTGTATACTGATCAATGTCATCTATAAAGATACAGTGTATACTGATCAATATCATCCATAAAGATACAGTGTATGCTGATCAATATGATCAATAATGAGTTTATTCTCTCTGGTTCCAGTCTGGAGCTATAATGACCGTTCTAGCTGCCGTCTGCACCAAAATGCCAGAAGCCAAACTGGCCATCATCTTCCTCCCAATGTTCACCTTCACTGCTGCCAACGTGAGTCACACTGCACCTGGTTCACCTGTCTGACATCATGAGCTCATCCTGTCTCTCTCTGTCTGTCTCTGACTGTCTCTCTCTGTCTGTCTGTCTCTCTCTCTGTCTGTCTCTGACTGTCTCTCTCTCTCTCTCTCTCTCTGCCTGACTGTCTGTCTCTCTTTGTGTGACTGTCTGTCTCTGTCTGTCTGTCTGTCTGTCTGTCTCTCTCTCTCTCTCTGTCTGTTTGTCTGTCTGTCTCTCTCTCTCTGTCTGTCTATCTCTCTCTCTGTCTGTCTCTGACTGTCTCTCTCTCTCTCTGTCTGACTGTCTGTCTCTCTTTGTGTGACTGTCTGTCTCTGTCTGTCTGTCTGTCTCTCTCTCTCTCTGTTTGTCTGACTGTCTGTCTGTCTGTCTGTCTGTCTCCAGGCGCTGAAGGCCATCGTTGCCATGGATACAGCCGGCGTGGTGTTGGGATGGAAGTTCTTTGACCACGCAGCTCATTTAGGAGGAGCTTTATTCGGAGTGTAAGTTGGTGTTTCGACCAATCACAGCAGGCGCTCCGATGCCTTCCTGACTTTGGTTTTTATCGGTTTCAGTTCTCCAGAAACAGATTGATTATTGATTATTGATTGATTGGCAAGAGATAAAAACTCTGAGGAGTAATTTTTGCTCCTTCATTAAAACGCTGTTTGCAGCTTTGTGGTCGTTTATCAATAATATTTGGATCAATTGTTCCTGGTTTCCCATCATGCTCTCATGCACGACCTGAGGACCCGAGGAGGGCCAGGCAGAGGAGGCGGCAGCGACGACGGCGGCACCGCGTAGGACGCCCAACCACCGGGGCTGCTGGGAAAATGTAAAGATGTATAAAATGTACAGAAAGAAGCCGCCGCGGCGTTCGGCTTCAACAGGAAGTAAAGCTGGAGTTCAAATAATGACTCATCGTATTTCTATCGATAACCGACGTGAACGATTCCAGTTTGTTTCCCTGCAGAGACGCTAATTATTATTTAGTTGCCATGGAGACGGATTGTATTGTTTCTGATTGTGTTTCTGTTCATCGTTCGACAAAACGTCTCGATTTCAGCCATAATATAAATAATAACAAACACAAACACAGCATTTCATCTATTTCCTGAAGAAAACTACATATTGTAATACGTTTATTATTATAATTATTATTATTATTGATATTAATCTCTGGTTTTCCACAAACTTCCTGCAGTTATTGTGTTCACTGTTGATCAGTTACTGTTATTGATCAATACAATATGAACTACAGTCAGGTTGGGAACCACCATGATACACTCTGGATCCAGAACTTGTTTCAGGACTCTGGTCCATCAGAGGAGTCGGGATAAACATTCTGTTTGTGTCTTTCTGCTTATTTATGTTTGTTTGTTTGTTTTCTTTCCAATAAATAAAACTGATCAGAAACGATGCTGCTGACTCGCAGTATGAATATATATTGATTGATTGAGGGAGGCTCACTGAAAGGAAGCAGTTGGGCTTCAGGGCCTTGCTCAAGGGCACCTCAGTGGTGGTAATGAGGGAGGGGCTGCTCCCTTCCCCACCCAGATTGATGTATTTATAGTTATTGATACCTCAGCCTGGTTGTCCACTTTATTGATTGCACCTGTAATCCAGTGCTGCTCTGATCAGCTCTTCTTCCCTTCAGAGTGCGTTGGTGTGTTCTGGTTCTAAACTATTAGAAGGTCTGACCTCCTCTATCCTCGGATCCAAAGAGCACCTGTAGTTTGATACCTATAGTTTAAGTATTTACCCTGGAACCAACCGGAACTATTAGAACTGAAATAGTTAATCGATTGGTTGATTGACAGAAAATTAATTGGCAGCAACTGTTCATTGATTAACCGTTAGCCGATTGACAGGTGAATATTTTCTGGTTTCTTTGGCATTCATTTAATTATCTTTGTGGCTACACGTTTCAGTATCATAAATGTCTGAAAGGGTGTTTAAGTTTTCTCCCTTTCTTCCAGCTGAGCCCTAAAAATGAACACAAAATACAGAAGAATCTCTGAATGTTTATTTAAAGACATTTTTATTCTTCAGTTCCTGAGTTTCTTTCTTCCATCGAAGCTCTTTGATAACTTGAAGTTAAGACCTGCAAACATGAAGTGAGTTTGATAAACAGACTGAAGTCCACAAACTGTCACACACTGTAAATACTGTCACTACTACTGCAAATAACCACAAATTAATATATATATGTACTGCACACACAACTAAGAATTACATTTATTTGTATTTATTTTATGTAAATATCACACATCAATATATTGCAATTTAAAAATTAAAATCTGCTGTCATAGTATGAAGAACATCATAAAATCAATACTGAACTGATACAATATCACAAAGCGTTCAATCATACAGAAATATTTACAAAATAGGAACAAATAATATTACTAACTAGAATATTCACATTTCTTGAAGAACATACAGTTTCTGAAAGAGTCCCAGTAAGAAGTGATTCACATCTGAAGATATCACCTAAAATCTGAACACTGTGTTCAAGAGATATGGTGAGCTTTCATTAGAAATATGTATTAAATAGTACAGATCTCAGCCTTATATCTATAGCACTGACCACTGCCCTGTATCTATAGCAGTCAGTTCAATTCAATTCAATTCAATTTTATTTGTATAGCGCCAATTCATAGCATTATTCACCGAGACCCAACAGTACCACGTACATGAGTAAGACCTTGGAGACAGTGGCAAGGAAAAACTTGGAGAGTCAGAAACCTCAGACAGACCCTTCGGGAGAAGAGAGGGAGACAGACAGAGAGACAGAGCAAGAGACAAAGACAGAGAGAGAGACAGACAGACAGACAGACAGACAGACAGGTGCACAGCAACAACAGTAGCAACAACTACACTAAATGTAGTGACTGATGATGAACATGAAGAAGATGATGACGACAACAATGATGGGGGACAATGAGCAGTGATTATAGTAATAATAGTAACTGTAGTAATAATAATAGTAATAATAATAATTGTTGAGGTGAGGAGGAGGATTTAAAATTCTATTCTACATTTTACAGGGAGCCAGTGCAGAGAAGCTAGTACAGGACAGATGTGATCTCTTTTTCTAGTTCCTGTCAGTACTCGTGCTGCAGCGTTCTGAATTAATTGGAGCGTTTTAATGGACTTATTGGGGCAACCTGATAATAAAGAGTTGCAGTAATCCAGCCTTGACGTAACAAATGCATGGATTAGTTTTTCTGCATCCGTCTGTGATAGTATGTGTCTAATTTTTTTAATATTACGTAAATGAAAGAAGGCGGTCCTAGAGGTTTCCTTTATGTGGGAGTTAAATGACAAATCCTGATCAAAGATAACTCCAAGATTCCTGACAGTGGTGCTAGAGGCCAAGGTCATGTCATCTAGAGTAACTATATCTTTAGACAGTGAGTCTCGGAGGTGTTTGGGGCCAAGTACAAGAATTTCTTTTAACATCAGAAAATTGCAGGTCATCCAGGATTTTATGTCCTTAAGACATGTTTGTAATTTAGATAATTGATTAATTTCATCGGGCTTGATTGATAGATATAACTGTGCGGTTCCTTTAATGCCAATTTGATGCTCAAGTCTATGTAAAAGAATATTATGGTCAATGGTGTCAAATGCAGCACTAAGATCTAATAATACAAGTACAGAGACAAGTCCATTGTCAGAAGTGGTTTAATTACAACCTGATAATAAAGAAAGATTAATCATATCTAGTAAAAAAGTGCCAATTAAGGGTACGATTTCTTTAAGCAGCTAAGTTGGGATCAGGTCTAATAGACAGGTTGATGGCTTCGTTGAAGAAATTATTGGTGTTAACTGATGAAGATTGATATCAGAAAAACATTCAAAATATATATTTGACTTTACATTAGCTAAAGTTCCTGAACTTGGAGAGCCAGTGATACCTGTCGAGGGCATTTGATGACTAATTTTCTCTCTAATAGTAATAATTTTATTATAGAAGAAGCTCATGAAGTTATTGCTACTTAAGTTTATGGGGATATGTGGCTCAATAGAGCTGTGACTCTCTGTCAGCCTGGCTACAGTGCTGAAGAGGAACCTAGGGTTATTCTTATTTTCTTCTATTAGTGCTGAGTAATAGGCTCCTCTGGCATTACGGAGGGCCTTTCTATAGGTTTTAAGATTATCTTGCCAAATTGAGCGATATTCTGATAATTTAGAAGCCATTTCCTTTCAGATTTCCAAGCTATTTGTTTTAACTGGCGGGTTTGGTGGTTGTACCACGGTGCTAGTTTCCTATGTTTTAATAATTTCCTTTTTATAGGAGCGATAGAGTCTAATGTTGATCGTAGTGAGCCTGCAGCAATATCAACAAGATTATCAATTTCGGAGGGACTAAAGTTGTTATAGGACTCTGTTATATTCAGACATGGCATTGAATTAAACACTTAAGGAATCTCCTCCTTAAATTTAGCTACAGCACTGTCAGATAGACATCTGCTGTAGGAAGTTTTGCTTTATGGCTTATAATATAATAATAGAAATTCAAAAGTTATTAAATAATGGTCAGATAGGAAAGGATTATGTGGGAAGACTATTAAATGTTCAATATCAATGCCATATGATAAAACAAGGTCAAGAGTGTGATAAACCAATGAGTTGGTTTATTTACAGAAGCCAATTGAGTCTATTAATGATATAAATGCGTTACTAAGGCTGTCATTGTTAACATCCACATGTATATTAAAATCACCTACATGTAACCCCTATGAAAGTACAGCTTTGGGTTAACTGACTATTATTTGTTTGTTTGGCCTCATAGTTAATAAGTTTCCTTTTAATATCTGAATTTATGAGGGAACTGTGTTTCAAGATGACTGTAGTTGCCTAAAATAGCCGCTAGAGGGCGCATTATGTAAGTGATATGTAGTAAATCCAGTAGACGTGAGCATGGCATGCTGGGATCAAAAAAAAGAAAACACCTCAGCTAAGCCTGATGCTAACAACTCACGATACAGCCACGAGTGACGTTGATGACGTTTTATGGAAGAAATATTGTTTGTTCTCATGTTTATGAGTTTGCACATGACCGAAGTTGTTGCCAGAGGGTTCCAGACCGCTGCGACAGGAGGATTTGCTTTCTTTTGTTTTATATGATTGAGGACTCATTGACTGCACTTGGACGGACAGGGATACAAACTAAGCTCTTTGGACTGGACTTTGACGAACATTGATATCAGACAGCAATAAGCTGTAAAGACACACTTTACTTTCAGTTCTTTTATTTCTTTTATATATTGGGGATTTGAATCTGAACCGTGATTCCACTTTTTGTTGATTGTGAAAATAAACATCCCTGTGTTTACCTTTTACATTAATTTATCTCTCGCTCCTTGAGTTGAATCTGAGTACAGTAGTCAATCAAGTGTTGTTCTTACTGGGTTACATACAATAATTACTTTATCTGATTTAAGGACTAAACTTGATAGAAACTCTGAGAATTCAGATATAAAATCAGAGTACGGTCCAGGAGTGCGATACACTATAACAAATAGAACTGGCTGCAGTGTTTTTCAGTTTGGGTGAGAAAGACTAAGAACAAGGCTTTCAAATGAATTATATATGACAGCAGGAACCCACCATCAGCACAGGTAATATAAACTGTTTAAATGAAATACGTTTTTAGCTTTTATCATTTCTCTTTATTCTTTTCAGTAACTTTATTTGACCTGATGACACAAGATAACAAAAACAGAATCAGAATATACATATATGAACAAACAAACAAACAGAGCATACATATCAAACGAAAGGAAAAACAAGTTAACACTACGAAAGACACAACAACCACCTGAAAGATGGATGGAACTGTGATCCTGTACAGACTGAACTGATCTGAGATTCTCCCTCCTACACAGGACTCACACACACCCAGGAACCAGGACTGGACCAGAGTCCAAATCCAGGATAAAGAGGTTCAGTGAATGTGGTGTTGAAGGTGTGGAGGTGGATAAGTGTGTCAGAGGAGACTTTATAGAAAGACAGAGTGCCAGCAGGACAGTCCACATACACTGCTACTCTACGAGAGGAGGAGGAGGAGGGGGAGGAGGAGGAGGAGGAGGAAGAGGAGGAGATGGGTGTTTCACTCTTATTGTGCCAGACAGAGTAACCACCATCAGAGCAGTACAGACTACAGGACTGATCATTCCCTCCAAACACACAGTCTTTACTGTTTCCTCTCCTGCTGATTCCTCTGTAACTCACTGATATAGAAACTCTTTCTCTCCACTCGACCTCCCAGTAACAGCGACCAGTCAGAACATTTCTACACAGCAGCTGATACCAGCAGTCAAATCTGTCTGGATGATCAGGATATGACTGATCCTCCTCCACATTAATCATCTCCCTGTTGTTGTCAGACAGTTTGATGTTTCTGTTCACTGTGTTTGTGTCGACTGTGAGTTCACAGGAATCTGATGGAGAGAACAAGACACAATACAGCTGCAGTTATTGATCTATCATCTGATCATTGATTGACACTTTGATGATGACATCAGAGCTGTGAATGAGTGATGTCACAGTGTGAAGATGGTTGAATGTGTGCTGCTTTGTTTTCACACTTACACTTCCTCAGACCTGGTCTCAACCATCGGACTCCAGCAGGCTCCACCCTGAAAGGAGGAGGGGGGTCAGAGCAGCACATCCTCTTTCAGCATGCAAACATGGACATTACATTAGTGTCATACACAGATACACAATGTGTGCATCGCTGCTCCCCCTAAACTCTCCTCATACACTGAGAGTGTGCCACAGGATGTTGGTGTGTGTGAAAGAGGAGGACAACATCTGATAACACACACAAACCTCTTTTTGGATGATCCGCTCTCCATTCAGAGTCCCACTTCAAAAGCAGTCCTTGGTTCCAGACCTCTGCCCTAAAACCACCTGACAGAGACTCCAAGACTGTTTCCCTCCAAACCCTCAGTCAATGTCAGTGGCAGAAAACCTCCTTCTGATACAACACTGATATTACTCTATTTATTACAGTCTGTTTCTGATATTACTCTATTGATTACAGTCTGTTTCTGATATTACTCTATTTATTACAGTCTGTTTCTGATATTACTCTATTTATTACAGTCTGTTTCTGATATTACTCTATTGATTACAGTCTCAAGGTCCCAAGACCTAGATGAGCAACTTAGTGTCTGCAAATGTCATATATTTACAACCCGTGTTTGCTGTGAAGACTATGTTCACTACAATTGTTCTATACAAATATCTCCTTTTTATGTTCAACCAGTGTTTATGTTCGGAGAAACAGAAAAAGGCTTCCTACATGTGTGAATGTTCATATAACACTCATATCCACCATGAACCAAACAGACCTCCTCTATCAGACTGACTGTCTGTGGCTGTAGCAGACCTCTTCATACCTGAGAGTGTCCAGTCTCCACTGTGGATCCTCCAGTGCAGCAGACAGCAGCTTCACTCCTGAGTCTCCTGGATGATTGTAGCTCAGGTCCAGCTCTCTCAGATGGGAGGGGTTGAAGCTCAGAGCTGAGGCCAGAGAAGCACAGCCTTCCTCTGAGATCAGACAGCCTGACAGCCTGCCAGCACACAAAAAAATACATGGCAGATCATCTGAAGGTACTTTGAATTCTGACATTAAAACAACATAGAGATAATATTTTAGGGAAGTATCTAAACTCATGCAAAGATAACTTGATCTGACCTGAGAGTTTCTAGTGTACAAAGTGGACTCTCCAGTCCAGCAGACAGAAGCTTCAGTCCTGAATCCTGCAGGTTGTTGTTACTCAGGTCCAGCTCTCTCAGATGGGAGAGGTTGGAGTTCAGAGCTGAGACCAGAGAAGCACAGCCTTCCTCTGTGATCAGACAGCCTGACAGCCTGCAAAGCCAAAAAACAACACACATGGCAGATCATCTGAGGGTACTGCTGCGTCCAATACAAGCAGAGATCGTCTGCAAATAAAGAAATAATCTTAGTTTTTACTCATTAGATCATTAGCAGTAAACACAAAGTGCAGCTGAGGCTGATGGGAATGTCATTAGTTCTGCAGGAATTTGGTCATGGACCAAAGTATTGGACACATTCAAATGTTGACCTGATGGTGGCGCTAGATGAAAAGTCAGTTGATCTGCAAAGTTATTACAATTCATCCTGAGGGGAATGTGAATGTCCGAACCACATTTCATACAATCCATCCAATAGCTGTTGAGATATTTTAGTCTGGACCAAAGTGGAGGACGGACTGACAGACCCACATTACCATCCATAGAGCCACGCTGCTAGCATGCTAAAAACATTACAATATGTTCATGAAGAGTGAAGCTTTGGTCAAAAAGGGACAATAAAGACTTTGAGCAGAGCGCTGTGTGCACTCACAAAAGAAAAATGTGACTTCACAGTGGATTATCAAAGTCGCCACCAGACAGAGGAAACCAGTCTGCTCTTTATCCTGAAACCAGTTCTTGAGGAACCCCCCTGTGAATACTTGGCTCTGTGCTTTTGGTTTTTGTTCAGGTACATTTTGGTCCAGATACACATGTAGAATACATCTTTAAAATCCTCTGTGGTGTTCTATAATGCAACAACAAATGATACAAATGTAATCTAGAAACTAGTGCTGAAGTTTAGTTAAAGGTCCTTTGACAAATCGTATTAGCAGACACAATCCTACACAGGTTAGCTGTTTATCCACTAATGTAAATCACACTTTAAATGGTCATCAGTTGAATGGGTTAATGATTCCTGACCTGAGAGTGTCCAGTTCACAATGTGGACTCTCCAGTCCAGCAGCCAGAAGCTTCACTCCTGAATCCTGCAGGTTGTTGTTACTCAGGTCCAGCTCTCTCAGACTAGAGGACTGGGAGCTGAGAACTGAGGACAGAGCTTCACAGCTTCTCTCTGAGAGGTTACAGCCACTCAGTCTGGAGAGACAACAGTAAGGAAACAAGTAAACACTAATTGATGTTTTTCTCCTCTTGAAAGATATCAGTGTATTTATTGATGAATAAATCCCACTTACAGAGCTTTGTTGGAGGCTTTGACCACTGGCAGCAGCCTCAGAAGAGCCTCCTCTGAAGCAGAGTATTTCTTGAGGTCAAACACGTCCAGATCTTTTTCTGATGACAGTAAGATGAAGACCAGAGCTGACCACTGAGCAGGAGACAGTTGAGCGGTGGAGAGACGTCCTGAACTCAGGGACTGTTGGATCTGATCCACTAGAGAACAATCATTCAGTTCATTCAGAGAGTGGAACAGATTGATGGTTCTCTCTGGAGAGGGAGTCTCTTCGATCTTCTTCTTGATGTACTCGACTGCTACCTCACTGGTTTTTGAGCTAATTCCTGTCTGTGTCAGCAGACCTCGTAGGAGAGTCTGATTGGTCTGCAGTGAAAGTCCGAGGAGGAAGCGGAGGAACAAGTCCAGGTGTCCATTTGGACTCTGTAAGGACTTGTCCACAGCACTCTGGTAGAACTGTGTCTCTGCTGATTCTTCTTTTCTTGTTTCAGACTTCTGGGAAGTTGATTGTTCTTCTGCCAGCAGATTGACTCCAGAGCTGATGAATGTCACATGGACATGAAGAGCAGCCAGAAACTCCTGAACACTCAGATGGATGAAGCAGAAGACCATGTCCTGGTACAGTCCTCTCTCCTCTTTAAAGATCTGTGTGAACACTCCTGAGTACACTGAGGCTGCTCTGATATTGATGCCACACTCTGTCAGGTCTGATTCATAGAAGATCAGGTTGCCTTTCTGCAGCTCCTCAAAAGCCAGTTTTCCAAGAGACTCAATCATCTCCCTGTTCTCTGGACTCCAGTGTGGATCTGTCTCAGCTCCTCCATCATACTTGATGTTCTTCAGCTTGGACTGAACCACCAGGAAGTGGATGTACATCTCAGTCAGGGTCTTGGGCAGTTCTCCTCTCTTTCTGGTCTTCAACACATCCTCCAGAACTGTAGCAGTGATCCAGCAGAAGACTGGGATGTGGCACATGATGTGGACGCTTCGTGATGTCTTGATGTGGGAGATGATTCTGCTGGCCTGCTCCTGATCTCTGAACCTCTTCCTGAAGTAGTCCTCCTTCTGTGGGTCAGTGAACCCTCTGACCTCTGTCACCATGTCAACACACCCAGGAGGGATCTGATTGGCTGCTGCAGGTCTTGTGGTTATCCACAGGCGAGCAGAGGGAAGCAGGTTCCCCCTGATGAGGTTTGTCAGCAGCACATCCACTGAGGTGGACTTTGTAGGATCAGTCAGGATCTTAGTGTTGTGGAAGTCCAGAGGAAGTCGACACTCATCCAGACCATCAAAGATGAACACAACCTGAAACTCTTCAAACCTGCAGATACTTGCTTCTTTGGTTTCAGTAAAGAAGTGATGAACAAGTTCCACCAAGCTGTACTTTTTCTCTTTCAGCACATTCAGCTCTCTGAAAGTGAATGGAAATGTGAACTGTATGTCCTGGTTGGCTTTGTCTTCAGCCCAGTCCAGAGTGAACTTCTGTGTTAAGACTGTTTTCCCAATGCCAGCCACTCCCTTTGTCATCACTGTTCTGATTGGTTCATCTCTCCCAGGTGAGGGTTTAAAGATGTCTTCTTGTCTGATTGTTGTTTCTGGTCTGTGTGGTTTCCTGGATGCTGTTTCAATCTGTCTGACCTCATGTTCATCATTGACCTCTGCAGTCCCTCCCTCTGTGATGTAGAGCTCTGTGTAGATCTGGTTCAGAAGGGTTGGGTTTCCTGCTTTAGCAATCCCCTCAAACACACACTGAAACGTCTTCTTTAGGTTGGATTTAAGTTCACGCTGACAAACTCCAGAAGAACTTCCTGAATGAACTCACAACATATAAGATCATTAAGTGACATTAGTGGATATACAAACATATTCTTCACCATCTGTTGAGACATCAGTAAATGTCTCATTCATCAAGCGAGTTAAATCTTTAGAGAAATCCTCTTACTGCTCTGCAGACAGTCAGCCAGCTCCTCCTGCTTCATTCTCCTCAGGAAGTGCACTGTGATCTTCAGAAATGCCTCTCTGCTGCTCCTCCTCTGCTCTTCATCCTCACTGTCCAACACCTCCTCATCCTCCCTCTGACTCTCTAAGCATTCTGGGTAATCTGAACTTAGAACCTTCTGGATCTTCTTCAGCTCGTTCTTCACAAAAGTGACAAGGTTGTCCTCCAGCAGCTGGAACAGAATATTATATGAATGACTCAATCAATGTCAAATCATGGAAGCACACATCAGATCCATGTTGGACAGACTGACAATCCACTGGTCTAAAAAGTGCAGCATGGAGATTATTGTGAACACAATAGATGTAAAAGTAGTTGTTGTCCATGTACAGACCATAAATATGGAGTCCAGGTGTGTTTGATGCTGCTGGGCAGACTGACCACTGGGAACCTCTGAGCTCTCCTGGTCCACTCTGTGGAGGAATCATGAAGAATGAGCTCACATTATGTCTGTCCACACAGAGACAAACACAAGCTAAAGGTCCTTTGAGTTAAATTATAGTGAAGAACACTGATGCAGATGATTGACCTGCTGCACTTGTTGACCCAATATAATACTGTGGACAGTCTCACACAGTCTGATTGGATGCTACCTGTCCAGTGGTAATTGGAAGGAAATTAGTACGTTGCTGTGAAACAGAGACAGATATTCTTCTTCTGGGACCAAATCAAAGCTAAAAGTACCACTTAATATTGCCCCAAACCAGGGTTAAAAAAAGAACTAAATTAAAACAGGACTAAAGCAGTTTTGGCCATTTTGGTGCCCTGGACCAGAACTCCTCTGGCCCCATTAAAAATGTCATCAACAATACATCTGTCAATCAGTGTCTGAACTGCAGCAGTTTCTAACTGCTCCCCAGTTAGAAACAACTACTGAACTGCTAAACGGGACTGACGGTACTCTGGGAAAAAGCTTTTTTCTGGGAACATTTTTTCCAGGATGCTGGAAGCTGTAATTCAGTGGAACAGATATTGGGTGTTTGGCCTTCCAGTCTGTCTCTTCTCTTCCCCCCTGTGTATTTTCTCTCTCCAAAGTGCGTTGTGTGACAGTGATAATCTGTGCAACACACAGTGCGCTGTATGGCTGTATGTACTTATATGGATTACATGAAGCCTCGATGCAAAGAACTTTAGTCATCCAGTTCCTGGAGGAATCGTTTCAGCCCCAATATAAAAAGGAATCATTAAAGTATCACAACGTCTTACTTTATGTCACATGATTGTCTTTCTTTAAAGTCGGTGACGATCCCTTTTGACAGGTCGCTCTTGAAGGACACACAGCTGGGTCCAGGTCCAGGTCCAGGTCCAGCAGAGTCTGGTCTCCCATAGATCCTGTTAGACAGACAGGATGTGAACTGACTGTTTATCTTCAGACACAGAATCAGTGGACCAGATATTGGGTGTCTGACCTTCCAGTCTACATGTGCTCTGTGGACATGAAGAAGGTGTGTAACTAACCTGGGTATCTTATGAGCAGTAGTGCATCAGTGTGGAGAACCAGGGACGTTACAACCAGCCATTTAGTCCCTGTGTAATCTGATGAGAGCTGTGTCTCGGCAGGAAGTCGAGAGGTTTCTCATGGTTTAGTTTTCATTTTGTCAGTTAAAGCTATTTATCTGGTTATTTTAGTTTGACTCATAGAACTGTATCTATAACCCGATCAGGTTTTTGGCCCCAATCCTGGTCTGAGGTCTTTAATATTGATATTAATATTGGGTATTTGTTGGTAGTTAGTCCAATCTGATAGAGCAGCAGAGGAAAGTCTTCTGTTTCCCCCCCACTGTACTGGTAGTGGAGGGTTTTCACACTGTGGTATTAGTACTTTTACTTCAGTAAAGTTTTGATCCTTCCTCCAGCCACAGCCTTACTGCACTGTGTGTTCCCCTTTAAGACAGGTGCATTGTGGGTAAGCTGTTAGCAGTAGGCAGTGAGTGTTTCCCGCTGTGTGAGGGACAGTAACATTACTGTAGTCAGACTTACATTGTGGAATAAGTTCAGGTTGCAGTAGAATTGTCAGTGAAAGGCTGTGTGTGTGTGTGTGTTTGCTGCCTCAGAAATAAAGTTTATGGAACGTTAACGTTCCTACGGTGTCTTCTTGTTCACAGCTGAGTGGCTCCACACTGAGAACAGATATTTAGCTATCAGCAGATAAACTGGAGGTAAAACGTTTCAGAAACCACACGTGATCAGATGATTGATCTCTTATGATTACTAACTATCTATTGCTCTCTTTCCACAGCGACGTTGTGCTCTTGTGCTCGGCTAGTTTCCAACAGACACTGTACAGAGTTTGCATTTTGTTTTCTGATTGAAATGGTTATGGTAATTGCAACTTATATGGATTACATGAAGCCTCGATGCAAAGAACTTTAGTCATCCAGTTCCTGGAGGAATCGTTTCAGCCACAATATAAAAAGGAATCATTAAAGTATCACAACGTCTTACTTTATGTCACATGATTGTCTTTCTTTAAAGTCGGTGACGATCCCTTTTGACAGGTCGCTCTTGAAGGACACACAGCTGGGTCCAGGTCCAGGTCCAGCAGAGTCTGGTCTCTCATAGATCCTGTTAGACAGAGAGGAAGACCACCAGGGATGTGAACTGACTGTTTATCTTCAGACACAGAAGCTGCAGGTTTCTGTTTCTGTTGTCACATTACTGAAAACTAAAACTACAAGATGTTGATTTGATGGAGGAACTGAGAGGGATCACGGTTAGCCTTTGTTAGCAGCTAGCATCTGTTAGCCTCAATAAGATCTCTGTTTTATAGGTTGAAGACTGGTTATACTGGTTATACTGGTCATCATTCAGATGTGAGAACATAATAAAAGTTGAAACATGAATCAGTAATATTTTACTCAACAGCTTACTTCTTTAAAGCAGCAACTTTTCCCTTTAAATAAATGAGCTGATCATTGGACCGGTCACTCCTAAAGGACGCACAGCTGGGTTCAGGTTCAGGTTCAGGTCCAGGTCCAGGTCCAGGTCCCCACTGAGTCCTTTTAGAGGGAGGGACTCCCTCCTCTCTGTCCTCACACTGACTCATGCTGCTGAACTCACATCCACATCAGCTCACACACACTTTGATCTGGAGAGGAAACACACATCATCATGTGCACATCAACTGAAATCATCCTTTCCATCATTTCTGCTGTAAGAAGATCAGCTGCTCCTCCAGTGATTGGCTCTTATTCTCTCTTTCATATCAGTGTCAGTTGAATGCAGTCAGACAGCAGTGTGAGGCAGAGGAAGCTGCCATCAGCTGCTGGACTTCTACTAGCAGTCCGCTAGATGGCGACATGAAGCGGCAGCCAGTGGAGGAAAGTAACTAAGTACATTTACTCAACTACTGTACTTTAGTACAATGCCTATTTCCACTGTATGCTACTTTATACTGGAGTTACTGTGCAGATGGAGCTTATGAATCCAATATAGAATCAATAATCAATGATGATGTATTATTATAGATGAAGTTATCCAGCGGTATATGAAGTCATTCATGGTGCTGCTTTTATTCTATGTGAACCTGTGTGAGCCACGTCAACCACTAATGTGACAATAAAGTTTTTCTGATGTTCATTTCTAATGGTATCATCCTGCAGTTCACTTTGGCACCAGCAGATGGCGCCACATGGTTTCTAAAGACAAGTGGAGGAAGATGGCAGTGAACAAAGAGCAGTGAACTTCGTGTGTGTGTGTGTGTGTGTCTATTTCCTCTTTAATGAGACCAAAATGACACTTTGTTCTCCAGGAAACTTTACAGGAATTATTAACAATGCCTGTAGTTACTGCACTCTTGCTTTACACTATCTGCATATCTGTTTATGGTAATACACAGACAGAGTGCAGTAGCTGCACTTTTGGGGTCATAGGTCAAATAATTGATCATGATTTTTAAGCCATAAAGATAACTTGGATAATACATATGTAATAAGCACATAGCCACCATTCTACATAAAACAGATTTTGCTGGTCAGTCAAAAAACTTTAAAGCCATTTTTCTCAGTTTCACTGTTAGTGTAGTTACTGTGGTTGTGCTTTGTAGGGCAGAATACATTAATCAAACTAACATCTGGACAGCAAACTACACATTGAGTATGAACCAATGTTCTGAACCCTAACTTGAAAATCGGGCTGAGGGTGGTGTTTCAAAATAAAAGCCTACGACGTCACAACGTTCATTGTATGTTAACAGGTAGAGGGTCTGGTGGACACTTTTCTAAAAGTTTAAAAAACCTACACTGCCTATAACTGCACATTAAGAATAGTTTTCTTTCTTAATAATGTGTTACTCATTAATATAAATATTGTTATTTGTGTTATTGATAGCATTACTTATTGTTATTATTGTTATTATAATTTTTGTTATTATTATTATTATTACTACTACATACTTATTATTCTCATCATTGTGGTTATGACTTATTTAGTTACCTTAGCAATTTTAATTAAACCATGACGCTTCCTGAGAAGCACCAAGAAATACCATATATTAATAATTTTTTGTGTTTACATAAAAGCACATGACTGTAGAAACACAAGAAATAAGCAATGGTAGAGGTCATATACTGTAAACTACTCAGCAGTGTCAATAATGCCAGAGTCAGCGGCCAGAGTCAGGCACACTCAAAATGTCTTTAGAGATTTTCTAGTTGATATTAATCTCTGGTTTTCCACAAACTTCCTGCAGTTATTGTGTTCACTGTTGATCAGTTACTGTTATTGATCAATACAATATGAACTACAGTCAGGTTGGGAACCACCATGATACACTCTGGATCCAGAACTTGTTTCAGGACTCTGGTCCATCAGAGGAGTCGGGATAAATGTTCTGTTTGTGTCTTTCTGCTTATTTATGTTTGTTTTCTTTCCAATAAATAAAACTGATCAGAAACGATGCTGCTGACTCGCAGTATGAATCTATATTGATTGATTGAGGGAGGCTCACTGAGAGGAAGCAGTTGGGCTTCAGGGCCTTGCTCAAGGGCACCTCAGTGGTGGTAATGAGGGAGGGGCTGCTCCCTTCCCCACCCAGATGTATTTATAGTTATTGATACCTCAGCCTGGTCTCAGAGTGTGTTGGTGTGTTCTGGTTCTAAGTTATTGATCACAAAGTCTGACCTCCTCTATGCTTGGATCCAAAGAGCACCTGTAGTTTAGTTTCAGTATTTACCAACCGGAACTATTAGACCTGAAATGGTTAATCGATTGGTTGATTGACAGAAAATTATTTGGCAGCAACTTCTTATTGATTGATTAACCGTTAGCTGATGTAAATATTTTAATATTTTCTACTTTCTTTGGCGTTAATTTAGTGATCTTTGTGGCTACAGAGATGTTTCAGTATCATACACAAGTGGACAGATTTGTTGGTACCCTTCTTTTAAAGACAGAAAAAAACATATTTGGTCACTGAAATAACTTGAAACTGACAAAAGTAATAACAAATAAAAAATACTGAAAATTAACTAATGAAAATCAGACATTGCTTTTGAATTGTGGTTCAACAGAATCCTTTTAAAAAACAAACTAGTGAAACGAAATGAAATGATGATGTAACCCTGATCTTAATATTTTGTTGTTCTGTAAACAGTTGCCTCAGTTATTTTAACTTTGAGTGTTTGAGAGTTTTTACAGTCAGCAACAGGTTGAAATACTTCAGGATACTTAAACTCTTCTTATGAAAAACTGCATAATACATTACAATCCATTAATCCTGAATTAGCACCTCAGAATAAACAAGACAATAAACAAACACAAAATCTGAATCAATCCCAAACAACCAGAACAGACCGTCAACAACTTAAAGAATATAAAAGGTCTCAGTTAAAGTCACAGATTTGTGATGAAGGTAAATCTTACCGTCTGTCCGTCTGTGTGTCTCTCCTCAGTAAAAACTGAACAGGAACAACCTGTCTCCTGGTTGGTCTCAGGTGATGTTATTAAGGGGCGGAGCTTTGTCAGCTGACTGCTGTGTCTCAGTTTAAACTGCTCTGAGATCAGGTCACAAAGAAAACAACCAGGGCAAATTCACTTTCACTCATATTTCTTTTATTTAATAATCTCATATTTTTATGAAAGTTGTTTTTAGTACAATTAATATCTATATAGCTGTTAGCACTGTTAGCTGTTAGCACTGTTTGTTGTTTGCACTGTAAGCCTTTAACATTGTTAGCTTTTAGCACCGTTAGCAGTGTTAGCTGTTAGCACTCTATAGCTTTGCTCTCTGTTCCAGAATAGAAAGATATCGGACAAACATATTTAAAACGCTCTCTGATCCACTCGACACCCACATCAAACCGGATCCTGTCTTAATTATGTTAGGAATGTCAGACGCCACATTTGCATTAACAAGAGCACAGCAGCAACTTCTCTCATATGTTCTCCTTACAGCACAAAACTAATCCTCACATTCTGAAAGAAGAAGGAAGTTCACACTTTTAATCTGTGGCTCAATGAAATGACCAATACCCTCCATCTTGAAAAAATAATTAATTTTTCATTCATCAAAACAATTTGATCTGGCTGCCCTTTGTCTGCTACCTGATAAACAACCAATAATACACTCCCTGTGTAGTTTACTGGTCAATACAGTTTTCATCGCTTGTTGTTTTTTTTTTGTTTTTTTTTACGATTTTTCCACTGCAACCTTTATGTTAAGAGTATATTTTGCTCAGTTGAGTTATGTTGATACTATCTGTTGTATTAGCTTTGTTTTCTTTCAGTGAAATGTTGACAAAAAAGACTTTATGGCTGAGAAATTTCTGGGGATTTGTGTGGAAATTCAAAGGATTCCTAAGAGGCATTGGTAAGTCCTTAAGGAACTGTTGGGGGTTATTGAGGCTCCAGGGGGCTTGAAAGAGTTTTTGAAGAGTTTCGAGAAAGATTCAGGATTTCTTGAGGGGATCTAAAGGGTTCCTCTGGTGTTTTTGTAGAGAATTTGGAGGATTTTCAGGAAGTTTCAGTTGCTTGATGTGGTTCTTGGTGTTCCTGTGGAGAACACATGAGTTGTTGATATGTTTTAGGGGGTTCAAGAAGTTCTTGACAGGGTTCAGGGGACTCCAATTGTGAAAGCTCCCTCTTCCTCTTCTTCTTCTTCTTCTTCTTCTTCTTCTTCTTCTTGGTCTTTCTTTGAAGCAGCCTAAGATATAAAACAGGCTACATGAAGCTTTCATGGCCTTTGCACACAAACAGTGTTGTGATTGTAACAGGTTCATTGTTAGTTTGATTGTAGAATAATGAATATATAACATTTATAATGGATGTTATTCTCTGTATTATTTCAGTGACTAATCTGCTGCTCAGAGAGAATTCAGCCTCCACTTCCCCTGAACTCTACTGCCACACTGTGGTTACAGGTGGAACTACAGGTGTGTGACAGTAAAATCTACTTTTTATTGATTTGTGCTTCTGGCCCTGCAGGGTTGAAGGTTCGACTCCCAGAGCAGTTTAAAGGTCAGACTCCCAGGGGTTGCTGGGAAAATGGTTGAGCCATAACCTCTCTGACTGATAAACTGTAGAGAAAGTGTAAAATGGGCATAAAATATGGTCCTCTAGCACCCCCATATGGCCAACCAGTGTCAGTGCAACAACACTAGAATCAACATCCTTCTTAGAGAAAACTTTACTGTTTGTGCACATTGATTTGGGTATCTGGAGGGTCTACCAACTCAGAAATATATATATTTATATTTATATGTTTTATATGTTGAGTAGAAATGATTGTAGGATGAAGTAAAAGGATAATGTCTAACGCGGTGTTCATTATCAGGAAGTAATGGACAAAGAAATATGACAACCTAGTAAAGACAATACTTTATGATGTTGATGAATAATTGTACATTCAGCATTAATGTTAAGAACAAGTGAAAGAGAAACAAACATATGTTTGTAATAATGAGACAGCAGGAGGAGCAGGTTCAGTTTAATTGCTTCAATTCAGACTTTTCCCTTTAAGAAATAAACATGATGAATATAATCAACCTCTTTATCTCTAACTGCTCTGTTCCACTGTCACACTGACCTTCACTGCTAATATCTTCAGTGGGACTTTATCGTTATGCACATTATGCTGGTCAACGGGAAATTGCTGTGTGCTATCGAGATTGCTAGCTGTATTTAGACAGCCCTTGCAGTCAATTGTAACTTAGTTCTTTTTATGTGTCACACTCTTATTTTTTCCATTCATCTTGCTCTCAAAGTCATGACGAAGCCCAAAGCACGAAGCTGCCCCTATTGTGGAGCAAGCAACGCTGCCAGTCAGAGGACCTGTGCCAGCTGCTATGTTTGCCTCCTGCAAAAAAAGAAAAGGCAGTGAGGACAGGCCACTGGGATCAGAACACCATAAAACACAGAAACTGAGCCAGAGTTGTGGCCTCAGCCCATGTAGCGGTAAGGAGTTCATAAATTTTTCTTCTAATTCATTCATGATATTATTTTCATTATGAGTGGCTGTAGGTTGTCAGGTACAATGTAGATTCATTGGAAAATGTCAATATTATTGACTTTGGTGTGTTGTGTGTAGTTGTTAAAAAGCGCATCAAACTTGAAATCCATTGTATTCATTAAAGGTTGTTGAACATAATGCCACCACTTTATATGAGCCACCCCTAACCTTAAATTTAGCTAAAGATTCTAAATGAGTTGGCTCATTATTGACATATGGGCTTGTGGTCCATATAGCATTTTTTTCGGATCAACAGCAAATTCTTTCACCAATGAGGAGAGAGCTAGGCCCGGTTCCAGAACCAAATGACTTCAGGTGCAACTCAAATTAGTGGTGGTACACTAGTAGCTACAGTGCAAGCTGCCAACAGCTATTAAAGTAGAGTAGTGTATGATGATCCAGAGTTGGGTCCCAGATAAACAGATTATGCTGAACACAGAAGAATAAAGTTGTAGACAGCAGTAAGTTAAACAGGGTGTCAGTCATTTTCAGCAACAGTTTGCTTTACGAGTCAGAAGGACACCCATACCCTCAAACTCCAGTCCTCAGAGGAATCATGGCTAAATACTGTGACCAGTGTAGTGCAAACACATTTGTATATCATTAATTACTAAACTATGTGACCATGTATGAGGTGGGATACATTAGAATTCCAAATAAAACAGTCTTTGTCCGAAATAATCATATAATCAATCAGTTTATATATTATTATATTAACTATTTATGGGAAAATCATACTTCATTTGTCATTGGCTGCAGATTGGTGGTGAGGTGTGTTCATGTTGTGACTCTCTGAACCATCCAGACATTTTCTGAGACGAAGATTGAGCTGTTGCTATCATGTTTGACTGATTAGCTCAGCTGTTTCAGAGCTATGAGACCAGTGATGTGACAAGCTGAGAGAGTATTTAATAATCACCACACCCGCTGACCTTTATTAATCTTCATCCAACTCTTTTGCACATTGAGCTGCTGGTGAGCATGAAGACGCCCACGCAGTCCATGTGCCAGACCACCTTATGCAAAATATTAAACTGAGGGTGCAATGCATGTGTGTGCACCTCCAAAGAACTAAACTAAAAAGAAATGGAGGGAAAACTTCTTTTGGCCATGTCTGTCTCCTGAGCTTTATGATATTTCAGACAGAAACTATAATAACAGAGACAGTGAACTCTCTGTTAACATAGCATTTGTTTCTCTTCATCCCAGCGCTCCACAGAACCCTGTCCACACTTTTCTGTCAGAAAAAATGCTATATGTAAACACACCTACAGTTCATTAGAAAATTCTCAAGAAACCCTTGAAAAAGATTATAGACATTAGCAAACACTGGTGCACACATAACACTCAAATAAAGTGAAAACAATGGAACATGTCAGTGTGTAATAATAATGCCATGTTAACATTTTGTGTAATTGTGTACATTTCAGGTGAGCAAGCTTGCTGCCTTGGGCTACAACCCAATTTTGTTCATCGGGAAGAAGAAGAAGAAGAAGAAGAAGAAGAAGAAGAAGAAGAAGAAGAAGAAGAAGAAGAAGAAGAGGGTGAACACAGTAAATGCTGAAATGATCACCTACATGTGCCCTGGAGGGGACGGGCCTGTAAAAGCCTTTTTAGAAAAGATGAGCAGGGTGTTTGAGTACATTATTAAAAGTAAGGCAAACATCTGTTTTTATGATTTATGCTTTGGGATGTTCTGTCATTGTGAGTAATATTTATATTTAGATTATTTCAGATTCTCAAAGGATGCAATTGCCAGAAACTCCCAGCCCATCTCCAACTCCACAGTCTACCTCCTCTCCCTCCCAACCCTCTTCTCCTCATCCTCCAGACCCTTCCACCTTTCTCCCATCTACTTCTCATCCCCAAATGGACTATGAGGAGGAGACTTACACCCTAACCCTCGTCCCTGTCCAGCCTCCAAGCACCGCTTCAGCATCTCCCTCTCAAAAAACCATGACTGAAAGTGAGTGTTAGCATTAATCACCTTCTGCCATATTTTAAGTAATGTGTCTAAAGTCATCCACCTTTGTCACAGGTGTGTCTGCACAGTGCTCCTGCTCTCCCAGATCCTACTATCTCCCTGACCAGTGCAACAGGTGAAGGGAAGAAAAAGAGGAAGATGGGTAGTTTTTGTTTTTGAGCTACAGCCTACTCATCAAATTAAATGTGCAATGCAATTCCTTGATAGCAGCATGATAATATTGTTTGTGTGCATGTAGACACAATGAACCAGACATATGCTGAGCTATGCAAACAGAAGACTTTTCGGAGAACAGATTATTTTTCCCCTAATCCCTCTTATTATCAGTAACAGTAAAAAAACAAAGGATTACTCACCAACTTGTCCTCATCTACAGGTAGAAGAGAAATTATTCATGAGATAAAATAAAAACTCATTTGGACACATATAGGACAAGATGGACACTTTTCTCTTCCTCTATGCATCAGCATTGTACAGCTCAACTCTATTCTATTCAAATTACCATTGCATTCTTCTACTTAAATGATACAATATCACTGTAGTGTCAACTTTTTACATTTTCCATAAATTTCACCCGAAAGTGGAATATCCCTTTTTGTGAGTAGTGTATGTACTTACTTCCATACTTGGTTTGTACCAGGATCCTAAGTAATTTGTTGTTCTATGATACCCCATTGATATAAACTAATATTGTGGTAAATGCATTGACCTTACACTTGTTTGCATTCATTCTTTTTTTTCAGTGGCAAAACTTGGGAAGACATCTGGGAGCCTGCCAGCAACTTTATAGACTCCATTTAATGTTTTTGTTTGTGTGTCTTTAAGACACCTGTATGTTGAATGTTGTTCTCTCTCTCTCTCTCTCTCTCTCTCTGAATTGTTCTCTCATACAGTCAGGTTACAAGTTAGTCAGTATACAATTTGACCATTGATATAAACTGTGTATGAGTAAAAACAAAGATTTGTTCATTTGTTTTATTTCAGTTCAGTTTCAGTTTGCCTTTTTCATTACATTTTGAATGTTTCTTTCATTCACTCCTCCTCATCTCCTTTAGTGTTTTTAATATGCAAGTCATATATACAATGTTATACCATAAGCAATGAAAAATATACATGTAAAACATCAGTATGTACAGAATCAATGGCATATATGCAGGAGTATATGCAGTCAGTGTTTCAGTGAAGAAGACTAATAAATATGTCGATGAATATTTTGTAGCATCATCCCAAATTACACCAGTGTTGCAATTACTGTCCGTGATGTGCCATGTTAATTAAACCTGAATACAACATTAGACACGTATTTCTCACATTGTTGACTTATACTGTGGCAGCCACCAGGGGGGCTTCACTTTTGGGGAACTGTCTTATCGTAAAAAAAAACGCATTACATTCTGCACCAATTCTATGAAACGTTACACACTTCACCTTTCCCAAATGGGCGTGATCTCCTTGCCCCTGATCTCCAAACTTCATTCAAGTGTTGTGAATGTCATGTAGATGGATGAAAGCAGATTGTGTTGTACCAGAGATGAATTCAAAAGGTGATTTAAGTTTTAGTTGAGTTGTTAGAGATCATATTTGGTGAAACCAACAATTGAGCACCATAGACAGTTCAGCACTGTCAAATCTCGCGATAGTGTATTTCTGCTGGGAAAGAGACACGTCTTGAACACTTAATCCTCTCCTAATTTGTCTGGAAAACCATTTCAGAGTCCAAATGTTCAGAAGATTTGTGTGCTGTGAAAAATGAGTCAAATTTTTACTTCAGTGACAGAAAGAAATGGCTCATAATCTGAGCTCACGTTCATTTCTCCCAATAGAGTCAACAGAATCAGGATGCTACAGGGCTCCTAAAGGGGAGTGGCAGTGACCAGTGATGTTAAATATTCATATTTCACATTTAATTATATTTAACGGCACTGGCAGTGGCTAAACCAACGTGACACAGATACAGGAAATGACTCTTAAACTGCTCTGTCATCCAATGGTTTGTATATTTGAATGTGTGTTCAATAATGATTTTAAGAAGAAATCTACAACAAACTCAGAGGAATAAAAATTAAACGCATTGATGATTGTGCTTGTAAAATCACGTGATTTGATGAATAACATATGCATTCATCTGTACAGAATATAAGATTACTGGCCGTTTGGGTTATATAAAACTCTCAGTTTAGAGTTTCTAGCTGGTAGAATTTGTCTGTTGTCTGTGGACAAGTATAGTAATAAGTATATAATAGATAATAAACATGAAACGTTTCTCTGTTGGCTTTATTCTTTATTCTATTATTATTATTATTATTATTCTATTTATAAAAATCAAACATCCCTGCACGTCCAAAAGTGACGCTAGAAGGTTCCTACAGCGTCACTGCTTGAAGCGTAGGGCCGCTGACCAAGCTGCAGTTTTTGATGCGTTGGGAATGAGAACGTGTTGACATATGAACAAAAAAACAAACAAACAAACAAACAGAGCATACATATCTAACTAAAGGAAAAACCAACTTAACACTACGCAGTGTGAGAGAATCAAAGCTTTAAGGGAGGAAAGACACAACAATCACCTGAAAGATGGATGGAACTGTGATCCTGTACAGACTGAACTGATCTGAGACTCTCCCTCCTACACAGGACTCACACACACCCAGGAACCAGAACCAGGACTGGACCAGTACAGTCCAAATCCAGGATAAAGAGGTTCAGTGAATGTGGTGTTGAAGGTGTGGAGGTGGATCAGTGTGTCAGAGGAGACTCTGTAGAAGGACAGAGTGCCAGCAGGACAGTCCACATACACTGCTACTCTACGAGAGGAGGAGGAGGAGGAGGAGGAGGAGGAGGAGGAGGAGGAGGAGGAGTAGGAGGAGATGGGTGTTTTTCTGTTATTGTGCCAGACACAGTAACCATCATAATCAGAGCAGTTCAGTCTCCAGGACTGATCATTGTATCCAAACAAACAGTCTTCACTGTTTCCTCTCCTCCTGATTCCTCTGAAACTCACTGATATATTAACTCTTCCTCTCCACTCGACCTCCCAGTAACAGCGACCAGTCAGAACATTTCTACACAGCAGCTGAGGCCTGCAGTTAAATCTGTCTGGATGATCAGGATATGGTTGATCCTCCTCCACACGAATCATCTTCCTGTTGTTGTCAGACAGTTTGATCTCTCTGTGTACTGTGTTTGTGTCGACTGTGAGTTCACAGGAATCTGATGGAGAGAACAAGACACAATACAGCTGCAGTTATTGATCTATCATCTGATCATTGATTGACACTTTGATGATGACCTCAGAGCTGTGAATGAGTGATGTCACAGTGTGAAGATGGTTGAATGTGTGCTCCTTTGTTTTCACACTTACACTTCCTCAGACCTGGTCTCAACCATCGGACTCCAGCAGGCTCCACCCTGAAAGGAGGAGGGGGGTCAGAGCAGCACATCCTCTTTCAGCATGCAAACATGGACATTACATCAGTGTCATACACAGATACACAATGTGTGCATCGCTGCTCCCCCTAAACTCTCCTCATACACTGAGAGTGAGCCACAGGATGTTGGTGTGTGTGTGTGAAAGAGGAGGACAACATCTGATAACACACACAAACCTCTTTTTGGATGATCCGCTCTCCATTCAGAGTCCCACTTCAAAAGCAGTCCTTGGTTCCAGACCTCTGCCCTAAAACCACCTGACAGAGACTCCAAGACTGTTTCCCTCCAAACCCTCAGTGAGTGTCAGTGGCAGAAAACCTCCTTCTGATACAACACTGATATTACTCTATTGATTAGTCTGTTTCTGATATTACTCTATTGATTACAGTCTGATATTACTCTATTGATTACAGCCTGTTTCTGATATTACTCTATTGATTACAGTCTCAAGGTCCCAAGAACTAGATGAGCGATTTAGTGTCTGCAAATGTCATATATTTACAACCCGTGTTTGCTATGAAGACTATGTTCATTACAATTGTTCTACATGAATATCTCCTTTTTACGTTCAACCAGTGTTTATGTTCGGACAAACAGAAAAAGGCTTCCTACATGTGTGATTGTCCAAATAACACTCATATCCACCATGAACCAAACAGACCTCCTCTATCAGACTGACTGTCTGTGGCTGTAGCAGACCTCTTCATACCTGAGAGTGTCCAGTCTCCACTGTGGATCCTCCAGTGCAGCAGACAGCAGCTTCACTCCTGGATGATTGTAGCTCAGGTCCAGCTCTCTCAGATGGGAGGGGTTGGAGCTCAGAGCTGAGGCCAGAGAAGCACAGCCTTCCTCTGTGATCAAACAGCCTGACAGCCTGCAAAGCCACAAAACAACACACATGGCAGATCATCTGAAAGTACTGTGAATTCTGACATTAAAACCACCTAGAGATAATATTTTAGGGAAATATTTCAAGTCATAAAAAATAACTCGATCTGACCGGAGAGTTTCTAGTGTACAAAGTGGACTCTCCAGTCCAACAGCCAGAAGCTTCAGTCCTGAATCCTGCAGGTTGTTGTTACTCAGGTCCAGCTCTCTCAGATGGGAGGGGTTGGAGCTCAGAGCTAAGGCCAGAGAAGCACAGCCTTCCTCTGTGATCAGACAGCCTGACAGCCTGCAAACACACAAAACAACACACATGGCAGATCTTCTGAGGGTACTGCTGCGTCCAATACAAGAAGAGATCGTCTGCAAATAAAGAAATAATGTTAGTTTTTACTCATTAGATCATTAGCAGTAAACACAAAGTGCAGCTGAGGCTGATGGGAATGTCATTAGTTCTGCAGGTATTTGCTCATGGACCAAAGTATTGGACACATTCAAATGTTGACCTGATGGTGGCGGTAGAGGAAAAGTCAGAGGATCAATAAAGTTATTACAATTCATCCTGAGGGGAACATGAATGTCTGAAGCACATCTCATCACAATCCATCCAATAGCTGTTGAGATATTTTAGTCTGGACCAAAGTGGAGGACGGACTGACAGACCCACATTACCATCCATAGAGCCATGCTGCTAGCATGCTAAAAACATTACAATGTGTTTATGAAGAGTGAAGCTTTGGTCAAAAAGGGACAATAAAGACTTTGAGCAGAGCACTGTGTGCACTCACAAAAGAAAAATGTGACTTCACAGTGGTTTATCAAAGTCGCCACCAGACAGAGGAAACCAGTCTGCTCTTTATCCTGAAACCAGTTCTTGAGGAACCCCCCTGTGAATACTTGGCTCTGTGCTTTTGGTTTTTGTTCAGGTACATTTTGGTCCAGATACACATGTAGAATACATCTTTAAAATCCTCTGTGCTGTTCTATAATGCAACAACAAATGATACAAATGTAATCTAGAAACTAGTGCTGAAGTTTAGTTAAAGGTCCTTTGACAAATCATATTAGCAGACACAATCCTACACAGGCTAGCAGTTTATCCACTAATGTAAATCACACTTTAAATGGTCATCAGTTGAATGGGTTCATGAATCCTGACCTGAGAGTGTCCAGTTCACAATGTGGACTCTTCAGTCCAACAGCCAGAAGCTTCAGTCCTGAATCCTGCAGGTTGTTGTTACTCAGGTCCAGCTCTCTCAGATGGGAGGGGTTGGAGCTCAGAGCTGAGACCAGAGAAGCACAGCCTTCCTCTGTGATCAGACAGCCTGACAGCCTGCAAAGCCAAAAAACAACACACATGGCAGATCATCTGAGGGAACTGCTGCGTCCAATACAAGAAGAGATCGTCTGCAAATAAAGAAAAAATCTTAGTTTTTACTCATTAGATCATTAGCAGTAAACACAAAGTGCAGCTGAGGCTGATGAGAATGTCATTAGTTCTGCAGGTATTTGCTCATGGACCAAAGTATTGGACACATTCAAATGTTCACCTGATGGTGGCGCTAGATGAAAAGTCAGAGGATCAGTAAAGTTATTACAATTCATCCTGAGGGGAACATGAATGTCTGAACCACATTTCATCACAATCCATCCAATAGTTGTTGAGATATTTCAGTCTGGACCAAAGTGGAGGACGGACTGACTGACCCACATTACCATCCATAGAGCCACGCTGCTAGCATGCTGAAAACATTACAATGTGTTCATGAAGAGTGAAGCTTTGGTCAAAAAGGGACAATAAAGACTTTGAGCAGAGCGCTGTGTGCACTCACAAAAGAAAATGTGACTTCACAGTGGTTTATCAAAGTCGCCACCAGACAGAGGAAACCAGTCTGCTCTTTATCCTGAAACCAGTTCTTGAGGAACCCCCCTGTGAATACTTGGCTCTGTGCTTTCGGTTTTTGTTCAGGTACATTTTGGTCCAGATACAAATGTAGAATAAATCTTTAAAATCCTCTGTGGTGTTCTATAATGCAACAACAAATGATACAAATCTAGTCAAGAAACTACTGCTGAAGTTTAGTTAAAGGTCCTTTGACAAATCATATTAGCAGACACAATCCTACACAGGTTAGCTGTTTATCCACAAATGTCAATCACACTTGAAATGGTCATCAGTTGAATGGGTTCATGAATCCTGACCTGAGAGTTTTCAGTTCACAATGTGGACTCTTCAGTCCAGCAGACAGAAGCTTCAGTCCTGAATCCTGCAGGTTGTTGTTACTCAGGTCCAGCTCTCTCAGACTAGAGGACTGGGAGCTGAGAACTGAGGACAGAGCTTCACAGCTTCTCTCTGAGAGGTTACAGACACTCAGTCTGGAGAGACAACAGTAAGGAAAAAAGTAAAAACTGATTGATGTTTTTCTCCTGTTCAAAGATATCAGTGTATTTATTGATGAATAAATCCCACTTACAGAGCTTTGTTGGAGGCTTTGACCACTGGCAGCAGCCTCAGAAGAGCCTCCTCTGAAGCAGAGTACTTCTTCAGGTCAAACACATCCAGATCTTTTTCTGATGACAGTAAGATGAAGACCAGAGCTGACCACTGAGCAGGAGACAGTTGAGCGGTGGAGAGACGTCCTGAACTCAGGGACTGTTGGATCTGATCCACTAGAGAACGATCATTCAGTTCATTCAGACAGTGGAACAGATTGATGGTTCTCTCTGCAGAGGGAGTCTCTTCAATCTTCTTCTTGATGTACGCGACTGCTACCTGATTGGTTTCTGAGCCACTTCCTGTCTGTGTCAGCAGACCTCGTAGGAGAGTCTGATTGGTCTGCAGTGAAAGACCTACAAGGAAGCGGAGGAACAAGTCCAGGTGACCATTTGGACTCTGTAAGGCCTTGTCCACAGCACTCTGGTAGAACTGTGTCACTTCAGATTCATCTTTTCTTGTTTGAGACTTCTGCAATGTTGTTTGCTTTGACGGCAGTAAACGTTGTAAGTTCTTGATCACAGTACTCTGGAAGAAGTTTGTGCCTGCAGATTCATCTTTACTTCTTTCAGACTTCAGGGAGGTTGATTGTTCTTCTGCCAGCAGATTGACTTCAGAGTTGATGAATGTCAGATGGACATGAAGAGCAGCCAGAAACTCCTGAACACTCAAATGGATGAAGCAGAAGACCTTGTCCTGGTACAGTCCTCTCTCCTCTTTAAAGATCTGTGTGAACACTCCTGAGTACACTGAGGCTGCTCTGATATTGATGCCACACTCTGTCAGGTCTGATTCATAGAAGATCAGGTTGCCTTTCTGCAGCTCCTTAAAAGCCAGTTTTCCAAGAGACTCAATCATCTCCCTGTTCTCTCGACTCCAGTGTGGATCTGTCTCAGCTCCTCCATCATACTTGAAATTCTTCAGTTTGGACTGAACCACCAGGAAGTGGATATACATCTCAGTCAGGGTCTTGGGCAGTTCTCCTCTCTTTCTGGTCTTCAACACATCCTCCAGAACTGTAGCAGTGATCCAGCAGAAGACTGGGATGTGGCACATGATGTGGACGCTTTGTGATGTCTTGATGTGGGAGATGATTCTGCTGGCCTGCTCCTGATCTCTGAACCTCTTCCCGAAGTAGTCCTCCTTCTGTGGGTCAGTGAACCCTCTGACCTCTGTCACCATGTCAACACATTCAGGAGGGATCTGATTGGCTGCTGCAGGTCGTGTGGTTATCCAGAGGCGAGCAGAGGGAAGCAGGTTCCCCCTGATGAGGTTTGTCAGCAGCACATCCACTGAGGTGGACTTTGTAGGATCAGTCAGGATCTTAGTGTTGTGGAAGTCCAGAGGAAGTCGACACTCATCCAGACCGTCAAAGATGAACACAACCTGAAACTCTTCAAACCTGCAGATTCCTGCTTCTTTGGTTTCAGTAAAGAAGTGATGAACAAGTTCCACCAAGCTGTACTTTTTCTCTTTCAGCACATTCAGCTCTCTGAAAGTGAATGGAAACATGAACTGTATGTCCTGGTTGGCTTTGTCTTCAGCCCAGTCCAGAGTGAACTTCTGTGTTAAGACTGTTTTCCCAATGCCAGCCACTCCCTTTGTCATCACTGTTCTGATTGGTTCATCTCTCCCAGGTGAGGGTTTAAAGATGTCTTCTTGTCTGATTGTTGTTTCTGGTCTGTGTGGTTTCCTGGATGCTGTTTCAATCTGTCTGACCTCATGTTCATCATTGACCTCTGCAGTCCCTCCCTCTGTGATGTAGAGCTCTGTGTAGATCTGGTTCAGAAGGGTTGGGTTTCCTGCTTTAGCAATCCCCTCAAACACACACTGAAACGTCTTCTTTAGGTTGGATTTAAGTTCACGCTGACAAACTCCAGAAGAACTTCCTGAATGAACTCACAACAAATAAGATCATTAAGTGACATTAGTGGATATACAAACATATTCTTCACCATCTGTTGAGACATCAGTAAATGTCTCATTTATCCAGCGAGTTAAATCTTTAGAGAAATCCTCTTACTGCTCTGCAGACAGTCAGCCAGCTCCTCCTGCTTCATTCTCCTCAGGAAGTGCACTGTGATCTTCAGAAATGCCTCTCTGCTGCTCCTCCTCTGCTCTTCATCCTCACTGTCCCACACCTCCTCATCCTCCCTCTGACTCTCTAAGCATTCTGGGTAATCTGAACACAGAACCTTCTGGATCTTCTTCAGCTCGTTCTTCACAAAAGTGACAAGGTTGTCCTCCAGCAGCTGGAACAGAATATTATATGAATGACTCAATCAATGTCAAATCATGGAAGCACACATCAGATCCATGTTGGACAGACTGACAATCCACTGGTCTAAAAAGTGCAGCATGGAGATTATTGTGAACACAATAGATGTAAAAGTAGTTGTTGTCCATGTACAGACCATAAATATGGAGTCCAGGTGTGTTTGATGCTGCTGGGCAGACTGACCACTGGGAACCTCTGAGCTCTCCTGGTCCACTCTGTGGAGGAATCATGAAGAATGAGCTCACATTATGTCTGTCCACACAGAGACAAACACAAGCTCCTTTGAGTTAAATTATAGTGAAGAACACTGATGCAGATGATTGACCTGCTGCACTTGTTGACCCAATATAATACTGTGGACAGTCTCACACAGTCTGATTGGATGCTACCTGCCCAGTGGTAATTGGAAGGAAATTAGTACGTAGTTGTGAAACAGAGAAAGATATTCTTCTTCTGGGACTGAATCAAAGCTAAAAGCACCACTTAATGTGGCCCCAAACCAGGGTTAAAAAAAGAACTAAGACAATTAAACCAAAACAGGACTAAAGCAGTTTTGGCCATTTTGGTCATCAACAATACATCTGTCAATCAGTGTCTGAACGGCAGCAGTTGGCAGCTGTGCCAAGGAGGTAATCTGTGCCCGCTGGACTCCTGAAGCAGCAGACAGGTATCCTGAGACCAGAAGGTGAGCTGCTTCTTGGATCACATAAGGACAACTTTGTAGGTGGAAAAGTTCGGGGATGCTACGCTGAAGAACTTTTGGTTGGCTTCAAAGAGATTCTGGTAAACCATCAGACGACACAGGAGACGGAGGCAGAGCTCAGTCCGGTTGTTTCCAGCTGGGGAGGAGAACTGCTGGCCCGGACCGAGGATACTATTGGACAGTGGTACACATTTTAATATAGGGACGGGAGGGTGGGCTTTGGGAAAAAGATTTTTTCTGGAAATCGTTTTTCCAGGATGCTGGAAGCTCTGTTGGACCTCTAATTCAGTGGACCAGATATTGGGTGTTTGGCCTTCCAGTCTACATGTGCTCTGTGGACATGAAGAAGGTGTGTAACTAACCTGGGTATCTTATGAGCAGTAGTGCATCAGTGTGGAGAACCAGGGACGTTACAACCAGCCATTTAGTCCCTGTGTAATCTGATGAGGGCTGTGTCTCGGCAGGAAGTCGAGAGGTTTCTCATGGTTTAGTTTTCATTTTGTCAGTTAAAGCTATTTATCTGGTTATTTTAGTTTGACTCATAGAACTGTATCTATAACCCGATCAGGTTTCTGGCCCCAATCCTGGTCTGAGTCATTTAATATTGGGTATTTGTTGGTAGTTAGTCCAATCTGATAGAGCAGCAGAGGAAAGTCTTCTGTTGCCCCCCCCACTGTACTGGTAGTGGAGGGTTTTCACACTGTGGTATTAATACTTTTACTTCAGTAAAGTATTGATCCTTCCTCCAGCCACAGCCTAACTGCACTGTGTGTTCCCCTTTAAGACAGGTGCATTGTGGGTAAGCTGTTAGCAGTAGGCAGTGAGTGTTTCCCGCTGTGTGAGGGACAGTAACGTTACTGTAGTCAGACTTACAGTGTGGAATAAGTTCAGGTTGCAGTAGAATTGTCAGTGAAAGGCTGTGTGTGTGTTCTGCCTCAGAAATAAAGTTTATGGAACGTTAACGTTCCTACGGTGTCTTCTTATTCACAGCTGAGTGGCTCCACACTGAGGACAGATATTTAGCTATCAGCAGATAAACTGGAGGTAAAACTTTTAGAAAACCACACGTGATCAGATGATTGATCCCTTATGATTACTTACTATCTATTGCTCTCTTTCCACAGTAGAAGTGTTGAAATTAATCAAATAAGCGATGCATCACGATGCAGACATGGACGATGCTGCATCGATGTTGTGGCCGACCATAATCAATTATAACGCAATGATGTCACTTGTTTATTTTCCGGCCGCGGCATAAACATTCAAATGAAAAATAACATTCTCAGTAGCCTAACCCGTTTCATCTAGACCAGTACTTCTCAAATAGTGGGGCGCGACAGGTAGGGGGGACTGACGGAGGAGGAGAGATGGAGAAGTTTCTGACAGGAGTAAAAAAAAAAAACGGAGGAGACGTCAGAGGCAAGAACAGCAAGTGACGGTAACCGGCAGAAACCTAATAAGAGCAGGAAATATGACGAAGCCTACATAGCCCTGGGTTTACCGTGAATACGGTCGGAAATGAGGAAAGACCTGTGTGTGTTTAATGTTTAAAAACTCTGGCAGCGGACAGCATGAAACCAAACTAATTAAGACGGCACTTGGAGACCTTACACCCAGTTATATCAATAGACCACTGGACTTTTTCATCGAAAGCTCGATGAGTATCGCCAACAGGCCGGTCATTTAGTGAGTGCGGCATCAGTAAATAAAAACACACCGTACACACACCGCCACATCGCAAGGTGCAAAAAACCATCACACAATAGCAGAGGAGCGAATACTCCGGCAGCATCGGACATGGTCACAATCATAGGTGAGAAAAGTGCTGAGACACTGAATACTGTCCCTCTGTCTAATGACACGATCGGGAGATGTGTGTGTGTGTGTGTGTGTGCTGTCTGCTGTGTTCAGACTGGTAAATAAAAAAGATTGTTATATCTTACTACTTGTATTTTTGGATGAAAACAACCATATGAAGTAATATAGAAAACAGTATTATATTGAACTATACGGTATCTTAATGCATTCCGTCAAGTCAAATATCCTATATGGCTTTAATAGAAAAATGTATTTGAAGCATCGTGATGCATCGAGGAATCGAATCAAAAACATGATAATCGTAATCGAATCAAATCGGGAGATCAGTGACAATTCACACCTCTATTCCACAGCGACGTTGTGCTCTTGTGCTCGGCTAGTTTGCAACAGACACTGTACAGAGTTTGCATTTTGTTTTCTGATTGAAATGGTCACAAACTTTGGACACTTTCTGTCTCTTCTCTTCCCCCCTCGTTATTTTCTCTCTCCAAAGTGCGTTGTGTGACAGTGATAATCTGTGCAACACAGAGTGCGCTGTATGGCTGTATGTACTTGTATGGATTACATGAAGCCTCGATGCAAAGAACTTTAGTCATCCAGTTCCTGGAGGAGTCGTTTCAGCCCCAATATAAAAAGGAATCATTAAAGTATCACAACATCTTACTTTATGTCACATGATTGTCTTCTTTTAAAGTCAGTGATGATCCCTTTTGACAGGTCGCTCTTGAAGGACACACAGCTGGGTCCAGGTCCAGGTCCAGTAGAGTCTGGTCTCCTATAGATCCTGTTCGACAGAGAGGAAGACCACCATGGATGTGAACTGACTGTTTATCTTCAGACACAGAAGCTGCAGGAGAAACTAGCAGCTATCAACCAGAAAAGGATAATTTCAATCTGTATCATCACTTCAGTTTTCCTTCAAATATTCTGATCAGATTTTCCTGTTCGTGACCAGTGAACTGTCGGGTCCATCAGCAGTGACACTGTTGGCTTGTATTCTAAGTAAAGCTGCACGATATTGGAAAAACTAACTAAACCCCCCTAACCCTTTCAGAACCAAAACAGAACTTCTGTCAATATCTAGAAAAATGAAAGTATTCAATAAAAAATGTCCCTTCAAGCCATCTGTCTCAACTCTAAGTCACGTTTCAAGTCAGGAATACCAAGTCAAAGTCGAATTGAGTCTTTTATCAATGTTGGTCAGGAAGTCTCAGGTCCACAAACTTGTTACTCGAGTCCTCCACCTCTGACACAAACTCTGATCAGAGAACCTTTCTTAACTTCTAATAACAACGTACCTTTTGTGAGACAAATGTCTTTGTTTAAATTCAATAATAGCATCTTTTGACCGATCGCTCTTGAAGGACACACAGCTAGGTTCAGGTTCAGGTCCAGGTCCAGGTTCAGGTCCCCACAGAGTGCTTTTAGAGGGAGGGGCTCCGTCCCCTCTCTGTCCTCACACTGACTCATGCTGCTGAACTCACATCCACATCAGCTCACACACACTGTGCTCTGGAGAGGAAACACAAATCATCATGTGCACATCAACTGAAATCATCCTTTCCATCATTTCTGCTGTAAGAAGATCAGCGGCTCCTCCAGTGATTGGCTCTTATTCTCTCTTTCATATCAGTGTCAGTTGAATGCAGTCAGACAGCAGTGTGAGGCAGAGGAAGCTGCCATCAGCTGCTGGACTTCTACTATCAGTCCACTAGATGGCGGCATGAAGCTGCAGCCAGTGGAGGAAAGTAACTAAGTACATTTACTCAACTACTGTACTTTAGTACAA